GACAGAAGGGTATAGTTTCTCCAAGAAGCAGAAATTATACTTACCTGTTGGACACCACTATAAACTTGTGAAGGATCTCTGTAGCCATGTTATTATTATAGTACTGCTGTTAAGAAGACCATGGTACTGTAACAATATCTATTTTATAAATTAAAATATATTATTTGTAATGTCATATATCTTATAAATAAGCATTATAAACTAAAATATATTTAGTTTTACAATACTTAAATTATTTTATATTTACCTTATTCATCATCTAAAGTATTATATTCTATTTCATAACTAGCAAATATATATTTAAAAGCTTGAATTAAAGAGTATATAATAGATAAAGTAGTATATTTTGAGTCATTAAAATAGGTTGTAGCATCATCAAATAGTTCAAATAAAGCAACAGTTTGGTTTAATAAATTCCATTCATGTAGTAAAGAAGCAACTTTTTAATTATTAAACTAATCATCTAAATTATTAGATAAGAGCAATATTAAAACCAACCATTCAATTGCTTTGCACAATTTAAGTAATTGTTTTCATAAATGATATTTAGAGATCTATCTCATTTTTATATTAAAGATAGTTCTAAGAGAGTTTTCAAGACATTTTATATTATTTATTAATGAATCACTATTACCAGAATTTAATATATCACTATAACTATCATATTGAGTTTGTAAATATTTTTGGCATTCTCATTATATTTCATCAAGATGTTATTTTGTTTAGGGAATTTTGTAAAAAATTTAACCAATTGCTTTATTCACTTAATATAAATATTTGTTTTTTTAAAAGCCTATACAACTAATATTGTAATTGTAAAATATGAGCTACACAGAATAAATCTTCAACAAACTAATCACTTTAATCATATTACTAATATTGTCTGGTATAATATATATAATTTTTTATCTAATCCAAACTTTAAAAAATTTTTTTTAAAAAGAAAACTATATTGTCAGAAGAATATGAATATGATATATGCTCTATACAAAGAAAACAGTCAAATAATTTAAAATCATCTGATAGCTAATGAAGTGTTGTTCTAATATATCCATGTTTGCTTTGTGCAGTTTATAGATCAGTCATTAGTGATGCTAATTTACATGTTTTATTTAATAATTTTTTTAAATTGTTGATAGCATTAGGGTATCCATTATTAATTTCCTTATTAATTGTTTTATCAGTTAGAAGCTGAAAGACTAAATCAGTAATTTTTATTATTTTTTTATATCCTTTTTTTTATTATATTAAATGGTAAATTATTAACAACTATTTATTTAGTAATTGCTTGTTAGATTTTTTTATTTTATGATTCTTTATGCCTCTTAGTATTAGCTCATTCAAAAGATTCTGATTTTGTTTGCTGAATAGTATTATCTCATTTTTATATAGCAATTATAATTAGTAATTATTAATTTAATATCAGATATTAAATATTAATAATAAAAAACTTACAGTATTCTGATTTTCATATAGATTATATGTGCCTTGAAGATGACTATTCATGTTCTCAGTACTTTTATTATATAAAAATTTATACTCATATTTGATTTTTGTATTATTCAAATTTAATATTTCAACCTTATATTCATCATATTGTTTATCTTCACTTACATCAAAGTACTTCTTCATTAACAGCCTTCCAATAATTTTTATCTTCAGTATCATTAGTATTCCAATATAAATTATATAATTCAGTTTTATCAAAAGGTTCATTATCTTCATCATTATTTGCATCTTTGTTATTACTTATTTATATAAATAAAAAAAATCAAAAAAAAATTAAAAAAAAAATCAAAAAAAATCAAAAAAAAATCAAAAAAAAAAATCAAAAAAATTCTTGAAAACAAAAATTAAGTTTTATATAAAAGTATCACTTTAAAAAATTGGGTGAAAAAAAATAAAAAAGCAAAAAGGCAAAAGAGATAAAAATTTAAATTAATCGACAAGATGATATGATTTATTTTTAATTTTTTTTTTTCAATGTTAAGGTGACCTCTTAGTTGCTTTCCTTTTATTTGGTTATTATTAACTTTTACAGTATAGTATACACCATACCATATATATATTTGGAGAGTACAGACTAGCCACATGTGCAACTTTTGGTTGCCTATTTAAGTAGTCACCTATTACTAAATTCTATACTAGCTGCCATATCTATAACCCTACCAATTTATCTATTTAAACTCTCTGCGCCTATGAACATTAACTTCTAACCAAGCGAGAATACTTAGTACCACTTTATTTTCAGATATCTGACTTAGGATTTTAAAACAGACCCACCTATAGGAGTCCTTTATCCTCAAGGTAAACCTGCTAGAGCCCTTTGTACCTACAATCCAGCCAACATAGGCTTCAGTAACTTACACTGAGTCTGAGAACAAGTACTTGTGAGCTAAAGCCGCTATCATTATCTACTTCTGCCCTTGTAGAGTTCACTCAGACCCTAGCATACACTTTACAGACAATCACCACCATTCTTGATTACCAACTGCGTCCTAAACTCCTAATCCAGATGGCCTGAGAGTAACCAGTAGGCATCTTCTGGTATTCTGATTAAATCTTTTTTCCTCATATTATACACGGCCTGGTTGGTATTAGTATTTACCAAATATCTGGTCCTTGTCCGGTTTACTATTGGTGTCTGATTGCCGATGATGATCTTTTACGTAGTACCGTCAAAAGTCTGTGCTACCTCTCTATTCGAGACTTGCCAAGTAGGCTTCTGTATGCCTAATCCTCTAGATTTATATGATGCATCACTCATTTCGTGTACTTATACATAATACTACTGTTCTGCAACCTCCCAGTACAAGCTGGTGTGACTAAGATTACAGGTGCCAACCTATCAAATTACACACAATTTATTATAACACATTTCTTAAATTCGAATTTTGTCACTAGTGGAATTCGAACTCTTGACCTGCCACTTAGAGGTGCGACAACTTACCAACTACACTAAGTAACTACACCCTATGATTTATTTTTAATGCTATCACTATGATATAAAGGATATAAAGGATATTAAAATTATACTAAGTATATTGTTACAGTATTATTATTATTTTTTTTTTAAGGTGAGATTTTGCTTTTATCTTTATTGAATAATTTGTATTGAGAATCCACTAGGGGATTCTCTAGTCAATAAGACTAATAATTACAAATATTTTTACAAGAATGAGACTCAGACTATAGATATTAAAATCTAATTTATCTG